TGTGTGTAAAAGTGTGTGTCAGTACCTTTGAACAAACATTGACTGCTGACTTATCTGTAACATTTTGTGTCAATTTATATATGGTGGTCTCAGAACTTGATGCTTTTGTATGGTGTGGTTTTCAGTTTAGAAAACAGCGATAACTAGTTAGGAGATTGATGAAATTTTGTGGTTCTGCTACTGCGTGAATGTAAAGATGATACTTTTTTATTTTTCTATGTTTTGATTTGTTTCTATGTTTTTCTATGATTGTACACTGAAATGGGAAAAGGACAGTTTTAAAAGGAAAGGATTGTAGAAAGGATTGCTGCACTTTTTGAAAGAAGTTACTTGACACAAAGTGTTGTTTACGCTGTTCTTTGTTGAAGTAGTGGGGTATATTACTACAGGTGAGCTGAAGACAGTGGAGTGTATGGATAGATATTTAGTCATCAACAAGTAGCTGATTGGTCTGTGGAGAGGTGACCAGTTGTTAAATTATTGAATTGCCTATTGACAATTATGTGATTGGCTCCTGGCTAGCTGAACATCTTGTGAATGTTTGGTAAGAAGCCCCTGGACCTTCAAAAAGGAAGGTGCTGCCCTTTTCTCTGCATTTAAAAAATAAAGGCACTATAAGCCTGAAGAAAGCCAGTTTATTTTTCATCAGCGGTTGTAGTTAGTGGTGGTTTTTAACCAATAGGTCAAAGATTTTAAGAGTGGCCTTGTTACTCCGTGCTTCCTGCAAGCAAGTGATAGTATCTGGAGAAGGAGAATCAAGGAGCAGTGGGTCCTGACCAGCAAAAATGATCATCCCACCTTAGTGATTGGGATCTATGGAACTGCTTTCCTGGTCTTTCCCTCCACCCATAACAATATTTTTTTGTGCCGTGTGTGTGTATTTTTAACTCTTTGAGACTTTGGGAATGGTGGGGCTTAATTTTCAATGCACTATTCTAGTTTCCAAATATCCCAGTATTATACAGTATTACAAACATCGATTCTGCAAATTGTTAAGTTGAAATCTGGGATTGCGATCTGAGATGCGATTTAATAAAGAAAGGGACGTTATTTGCCTGATTAAATTGTTCTGAATTTTTACATGGGAAATGGAAGTGCATTAGCTGTGATCTTCCCAGTCTGCAAAAGGTGTGTTTAGCATTGTGGGATTTTATGTGTGGAAATGTGTCTGTTATTCTGGGGAAAAAAAACTTTTGCATATTGTGCCAATTTGAATGCTGTAGTGTCTAGGAAATTCATGCCTTGTGAGTTTAATGGAGGGGTAATGTTTATTGAAGATATTGAAGGATAGGGTTCGGGGTCAGGTCCAGGTGGAATGCTGTTTGGATGGTTGGTGTGGACTCGATGAGCTGAATTGCCTGCTTCCCCACCGTAGGGATTCTATGATTCCATATTGGTGAACTCTTCTGATTCAGCTTCTGAGAGATCTTAATATCCTATGCGTCAACACAAATACATTTATTACTCTTACTATTTGACTGCAACCCTAATAAATATATTTATTTCATACATCATTATTAATATTCCATTGAAGTTCACCAATTGTCCTGGTTCCTGAGATGGATTGATAACCTGGGTTATAAATTATAGAAAGGTGACTACCCCAGTGGAGTGTAATACTAAAGATGGTAGGAACTGCTTAAGCTTTGGCATTTATGCTTGCCTGGCAGGCCTGTGTTGTTTAACGTGTTTGTCACCTTGTGCAGTAGCTTTGCCAGATTGGCACCTTCACTTTTAGGTCAGGTTGGTGCTACTCTTCACCAGCGCTCCCTTTAATTTTTCTTTCATTTGCACAGATGTCTGAGATCCATGTGCAGTAACAATGCCCAGAACCAGACATCAATGCTGCAACCTGTATTTGCACACTGGTCACTGTGCATGGAACATTAGAACACTGCATGTGCGAAGCCCGCACAAAGCATTGTCCTGCCATGCCCTCCTGCATCATTCATTGAACCAGATCCGATGTTCAGTTAGTAATCCACTGGAGTTACCTGCAGCTGATGCAGTTGCTGAATGTTGACATAATGTAACACCCTCACTCTTCTCTCCTGTACCCTCACGTGCTGTTTTTTACTTTACTGGAAGAATTGATGTGAAAGTTTCATGGGGAATCAATGAGAAGGCAGGGTGAGACCAGACGATGTAGCTATTCAGTTCACTCTGATGTAGTTTCCAAACAGTAATATCATTGACCAAAGAATTCTTCAACTTGCCAACAAGCAAATCTGCAAAATATGCAGAGAACCTTGATCAATATTACAGCAATCTATTTGTCTATTTAATATCAAACCATTACTTTTCATTAATCACACCAGATTCCAGTACATCTTATGGTTATCTTATAACCTGCACAACCTTATACAGCCTTGCAGTATTCCTCATAGTTCAGTGGGTTTGACTTTTGGTAGTTCTGATAACGCATGTTCCTCAATCATCTTTCTGCACTTCTTTCAAATGTCCTCTTAAGAATCAAGTGGACTAAGACATATTCTGAAAGATGATTAATTGGTTTCTTGATTATGACACCAATACTTTCCAAGAAAAACTGATGTAACCTTAACTTCCCATGGGGATGAACAATTACATAGTTGAGGATAAGCACAAAAGTAATTGCAGCAGAGATAGTAGGAACTGCAGATGCTGGAGAATCTGAGATAACAAGGTGTAGAGCTGGACAAACACAGCAGGCCAAGCAGCATCAGAGGAGCAGGAAAGCTGACGTTTCGGGCCTAGACCCTTCTTCAGAAATGGGTGTTACCCTCCTCCCTCCGGAAAGACCTCAGTGGATCTCTCCCCCATTTCTGAAGAAGGGTCTAGGCCCGAAACATCAGCTTTCCTGCTCCTCTGATGCTGCTTGGCCTACTGTGTTCGTCCAGCTCTACACCTTGTTATCTCATTAATTGCAGCAGGCTTGGTTTCAGCCATTTTTGTTCTGTTCAGCAGTTTAGAATGCTGGATTTGTGCAGGGAAAATAAAGATATGTCGGGAGAAAGCAAAACCGTTCTCTAAATGGAAAAGTTGGCAATCTAGGGGATATCTTCTTTTAAAAAAAATAAATCTATACAGGGATCATAACGTTGTATGTGTACAACTGTTAGGCTTCTAATTTTTACTACAGTCAAGTAACTTGCAAGCTCTAAATTCAGTTGGTAGACGTCTTGAGAGGAGAGAGTGCACATAGATAACATAAGATAATTAAATGAATGTGGAAAGGAATACCTGACAATGGAGATTATAACTGGACTGTGGAAGACAATTCACTGTGTGGTTTGAGTCTGTGATAATGTGGGCAGTTAGTGACATTATTAACATACAAATAAAGTGTGCATGGCCCATGGAATGAGATTAATGCACCAAAGTCTCTTTATGCATTGCATTTTTTCTTCTATACTTACAAGTTTCCAGTAAATATTGAGTTTCTTGGGGAACACTGCATGTTGGCTGGTCTCTTAAAGCCTGTTAATTGTCGAAGTTTTGAATGTTTCTGCTTGTGATGGATTGCAAAGCTAGGGTCAGAAATATAAAGTAGTCACTAACAGACCCAGTGACAGATTCAGTAGGAATGTTGAACCTAATACCACAAGGACTTTTAGAGGACCCACACTGATTCATTTAACAAAAGCAATCCATCCACAAGGGAGACAAGATTAAAAGGTTATACTAATAATATAAGATGAAAACAAAATATGTGATAATGAATCCATGGATGACATTCCCCAAATGTTTTCGGTTCCAGATGAGGAGGGATACTGGATCCCCTTCTTTATTCACTCATCCTTGGTTGATCCTAACAAGATTGATTTGCGAAGGATACTTTCTCCTGATGTGAATTAATTTGTTTTAAAAAGAGAGCCAATTTAATCAGACTTTCTTGAGTTAACAATAGAGGAAGTTTATTGGTTGCTAAATGCAAGAAGAAATGATAACAACACCCAGACTAGGGATGAAAAGTGAGTCTGAAGAAAAAACTTAAAAGATCAATCTATCTCTGAGTCACTCATGAAAAATGGATAACAGAATGTTGCAGCTGCTACGTTGGTAGTTGAATACTCTTGGTTTTGCAAGTTAATTGAAATTCTTTTGTCCTGATTCCTTTTGACAGTGGCTGTCTGGTAGCACTAAGAGTGAGAGAGTATTTTTGCTTTTCTTTACGTATAGCGCAAGTGTTTAATGATTGTCCTTAAACTGTGACCTTCACAGCACACTCGTACATCAGGCCACTAACTCAGAGACCAAGGGTCGCAGTTGGTTTCTAACCTTAAACCTAACTCTTTATTTATATTTTCTTGAAAGGGTAAAACATGAACATATCTGTACAGAACACTGCCAAACAGTCATTGTCATCATAGAATTCCTACAGTGTGGAAACAGGCCATTCAGTCCAACAAGTCCACACTACCCCTCCGAAGAGCATCCCACCCAGACCAAATCCCATACCCCTGCATTTCCAATGGCTAATCCATGTAATGTATACACCTCTGGACACTATGGGCAATTTCGCATGACCAATCCATCTATCCTGCACATCTTTGGACTGTGGGAGGAAACCGGAGCACCCGGAGAAACCCACACAGACATGGGGAGAATGTGCAAACTCCTCACAGTTAGTACCCAAGGGTGGAATTGAACCCAGGTCCCTAGCGCTGTGAGGCAGCAGTGCTAACCACTGAGGCACTGTGCCATCTTTTGACTGCAGCTGTCCACTTTTTAAAATAAAAGCACATTGAATTGAAAGTTCAAAATGTTCAAAGTTTGAGGTGTTGATCCATTGTTATGACAAATAGGACGTGATGAGTGTGATGCATAAACAGCATAGTTAACAGAATGGCCTGTTTCTGTTCTCTAGTTTCAAAGGAGTAGGTTATTAGGTTCTCTGTAACTTGTTCACAGGACTGTTTCTCCATGGACAATGTGTCATGGTATGGAGGAGGAAGCATGCATTCTCAGTACTGGCCCATTAACAATGCTGACATTGACTCCCAACCTTTCGTCATCAGCAACCTACAGGACACGCCCACAGGCTACGGATCAGTGTTGGAGAGGTATTTCCTTGGATCAACAGGTGAGAACATTGACGTTCTGTGTATTTGATGTAAATTGAATTCTTCTGGGAATCTGGACTTCAGCTTAAATCATAAGATGAAATTTTGGGCTGTTTGAGGTGCAGGGGATCACTGTGATACCATTCTGTGCATTGATTTGAACTCGTCTCAGGATACGGGGTTGGGGGAGTCAAGATGTGTAGTGCAGTCACTGCTCTGAATGAACTCTTATTCACTGTGGGTGAAAGCAGATTGGCTAAGTTTTTGTATCAATGAGGCTGTAGGCACTTTCCATGTGTGGGTGAAGATTGGTTTAAACCTTACTGCTGGAGGACTTTGGTGTCCTTTATCAGAAGTCTTTGAGAGTTGGGCCTCCATCACAGCAGACAAATCATTGTTGTCCACCAACAATTTTGTGGCATGTATATGTCCAATGTTGTGTGTTGACAAAAAGTTCCATGCAGTTAGCTGAGACTGAGTTGATTCACATCCAGAACATCTGCCCAATTCCTCTGATTTACAAAAACAGCTTTTTAATACAGAAATCTTGTTCAGACACTGATTGATTGTCTTCCTCCTCCTGAGGTGACTATCATAAGGTGAGTTCAGGATTCCAGTCAGTAATTAGTGCAGTATTCAAGCAATTCAAAGATGGAGGATGACATTTCACCAGGGTCTCAGCATCAATATAATCCCAGAGATAGTAGGAACTGCAGATGCTGGAGAATCCGAGACAACAAGGTGCAGGGCTGGATGAACACAGCAGGCCAAGCAGCATCATAGGAGCAGAGAGGCTGACGTTTCGGGCCTAGACCCTTCATCAGAAAAGGGGGAGGGGAAGGGGGTTTTGAAATAAATAGGGAGAGAGTGGGAGGCGGATAGAAGAGGGATAGAGGAGAGGATAGGTGGAGAGGAAACAAACAGGTCGAAGAGGCGGGGATGGAGCCAGTAAAGGTGAGTGTAGGTAGGGAGTTAGGAAGGGGATAGGTCAGTCCAGGGAGGACGGACAGGTCAAGGGGGCGGGATGAGGTTGGTCGGTAGGAGATGGAGGTGCAGCTTGAGGTGGGAGGAGGGGATAGGTGGGAGGAAGAACAGGTTAGGGAGGCAGGGACGAGCTGGACTGGTTTTGGGATGCGGTAGGGGGAGGGGAGATTTTGAAACTTGTGAAATCCACATTGATACCATTGGGCTGCAGGGTTCCCAAGCGGAATATGAGTTGCTGTTCCTGCAACCTTCGGGTGGCATCATTGTGGCACTGCAGGAGGCCCAGGATGGACATGTCGTCTGAGGAATGGGAGGGGGAGTTGAAATGGTTCGCGACTGGGAGGTGCAGTTGTTTGTTGCGAACCGAGCGTAAGTGTTCTGCAAAGCGGTCCCCGAGTCTCCGCTTGGTTTCCCCGATGTAGAGGAAGCCACACCGGGTACAGCGGATGCAGTATACCACATTGGCAGATGCGCAGGTGAACATCTGCTTCCTCCTACCGCCCCCTTAATCAAGACCCCACCCCTGAGCACCAAACCATCATCTCCCAAACCATCCACAACCTCATCACCTCAGGTGACCTCCCACCCACGGCCTCCAACCTCATCGTTCCCCAACCTCGCACTGCCCGCTTCTATCTCCTTCCCAAAATCCACAAACCTGAATGCCCTGGTCGACCCATTGTCTCCGCCTGCTCCTGCCCCACCGAACTGATCTCCAACTATCTCAACTCCATTTTCTCCCCCTTGGTCCAGGAACTCCCTACCTATGTCCGTGACACCACCCACGCCCTCCACCTCCTCCAGAACTTCCAATTCCCCGGTCCCCAACACCTCATCTTTACCATGGACGTCCAGTCCCTCTACACCTGCATTCCCCATGCAGATGGCCTTAAGGCCCTCCGCTTCTTCCTGTCCCGCAGGCCCGACCAGTCCCCCTCCACTGACACCCTCATCCGCTTAGCCGAACTCGTCCTCACACTCAACAACTTCTCTTTCAATTCCTCCCACTTCCTACAGACAAAGGGGGTAGCCATGGGTACCCGCATGGGCCCAAGCTACGCCTGCCTCTTTGTAGGTTACGTGGAACAATCCCTCTTCCGTACCTACACCGGCCCTAAACCCCACCTCTTCCTCCGTTACATTGATGACTGTATCGGCGCCGCCTCGTGCTCCCACGAGGAGCTCGAACAGTTCATACACTTCACTAACACCTTCCACCCCAACCTTAAGTTTACCTGGACCATCTCTAACACCTCTCCCCCCTTCCTGGACCTCTCTGTCTCCATATCGGGCAACCACCTAGAAACCGATATTCATTTCAAGCCCACCGACTCCCACAGCTACCTAGAATACTCCTCCTCCCACCCACCTTCCTGCAAAAATGCTATCCCCTATTCCCAATTCCTTCGCCTCCGCCGCATCTGCTCCCAGGATGAGGCATTCCACTCCCGTACATCTCAGTTGTCCTCGTTTTTCAAGGACCGTAACTTCCCCCCCTCGGTGGTCGAGAACGCCCTCAACCGTGTCTCCCACATCTCCCTCAACTCATCCTTCACACCCCGTCCACGCAATAAGAACCAAAAAAGAATCCCCCTCGTCCTCATGTACCACCCCACCAACCTCCGGATCCAACGCATCATCCTCCGACACTTCCGCCATCTGCAATCCGACCCCACCACCAAAGACATCTTTCCCTCCCCACCTTTATCTGCTTTCCGGAGGGACAACTCTCTCCGTGACTCCCTTGTCCGCTCCACACTCCCCTCCAGCTCCACCACACCCGGCACTTTTCCCTGCAACCGCAGGAAGTGCTACACCTGCCCCCATACCTCCTCCCTCACCCCCATCCCCGGCCCCAAGAAGACTTTCCACATCAAGCAGATGTTCACCTGCACATCTGCCAATGTGGTATACTGCATCCGCTGTACCCGGTGTGGCTTCCTCTACATCGGGGAAACCAAGCGGAGACTCGGGGACCGCTTTGCAGAACACTTACGCTCGGTTCGCAACAAACAACTGCACCTCCCAGTCGCGAACCATTTCAACTCCCCCTCCCATTCCTCAGACGACATGTCCATCCTGGGCCTCCTGCAGTGCCACAATGATGCCACCCGAAGGTTGCAGGAACAGCAACTCATATTCCGCTTGGGAACCCTGCAGCCCAATGGTATCAATGTGGATTTCACAAGTTTCAAAATCTCCCCTCCCCCTACCGCATCCCAAAACCAGTCCAGCTCGTCCCTGCCTCCCTAACCTGTTCTTCCTCCCACCTATCCCCTCCTCCCACCTCAAGCTGCACCTCCATCTCCTACCGACCAACCTCATCCCGCCCCCTTGACCTGTCCGTCCTCCCTGGACTGACCTATCCCCTTCCTAACTCCCTACCTACACTCACCTTTACTGGCTCCATCCCCGCCTCTTCGACCTGTTTGTTTCCTCTCCACCTATCCTCTCCTCTATCCCTCTTCTATCCGCCTCCCACTCTCTCCCTATTTATTTCAAAACCCCCTTCCCCTCCCCCTTTTCTGATGAAGGGTCTAGGCCCGAAACGTCAGCCTCTCTGCTCCTATGATGCTGCTTGGCCTGCTGTGTTCATCCAGCCCTGCACCTTGTTGTCTCAATATAATCCCAGTTGTTTATTGTTATTATGGCAACAATTTTCCAAGTAGTCCTACTCAAAACTCTACACATGGGCTGTGGGAGGTGATTAAACAATTGGAGAAAATGAGAACTCTCTATACTTCCCATGTAAGAACAGTTGAAGTGAAGCTTGTAGCATTAAGCCCACTCCTCCTAGGGATCACAAACAACCCATACCATTGCTCACTGGAGCTGACCTGTTTAACCACCTTCCATAGAAATGCAGTTGAATTCATCTCTATAAGCAGTTCAAATGAACAGATGCAGCACATTTAGCTGGATCACCTTTGGAGATGAGGGGGACAATTTACAGGATTTCTCCTGAAATTAAAAATGCAGTGTGGAGTCAATTATTCAGCAGTATGTTTACGGATAGTGATGGTGTTGACCCTCATCTGAGTGTAAATAAGAATCCCATCAAACAATTCTGTGTTTGCTCAGTGTAGGAACACAGGAAAAAGAGGAGATACCAAGGGCCTTTTCCGTCATTCAGGGAAATCTCTGGCTGACTTGTAGGTTAACTGCACCCGCCTTTTCCAAGTCTTTACCGCTTGATACCTTTGACAAGCAAAAAATCTGTTTATCAGATTTACAAAGCTTAATTGAGCTATCATTTATTGGGAGAGAATGCCACATTTCCATTGCCTTTTACATGAAAAGTGTTTTGTAATCTTTCTCCTGAACGGCCTGGCTCTGATTTTAAATGGCCTTGTCCTCGGGTATGATTTCACCTTCGCAGAGGTGGTGAGAATAATGATGAGTGTAATGGCTACATTGAGTGAGAATCTGTATCAACAAAAACTCTGAGTTCACTTCTGCCACCTTAGATAGCGAGATCCAATTCTCACCATCTGATGACAAGAAATCTAGCTGCATGAATTTGTACCTCATTAATTAAATAACTGACTCTGAACTTCCCCCTTCCTGAGTAATTTCTCCCTGTCAAAAATCTCAATGTCTCAAAACTGAATGGATACCTGTTGAGTTCATATCTTAGCATCAAGTCATGGCTGTGCCAACTATTTTCCTTTTCTTTACTGGCAATTATATAAACTGCAGCAAATGCCTTCATGGTTTATGGCAATTGAACCTCTTCATCAACGTAACTGGGCCTTGTCGCTGTATCCACCTCAGAACAGCAGACTGCTTAAGATTGGGCACACTCGGACACTATTCATGCGCAGAGGTAGCATTGGCAGATCTGGACAGCCCGGCATTTTCCTCCTTTGTCATAAAACTTTCATACAGACAGACAGATAGACAGCTTCTGGCTTACTGGTTTCACACAGGCAGGGTTCAGAAAGCTTGTGGCTTGAGGAAACATTAAAGAATACCAGTCCTCGAGGGTGGGCGGGGGAGTGCTGAGTCATTTTGTTGTGCAGCGTCAATGCCAGAG